TGAACCATGCAACTTGGGATGACATATATACAGTATTATACAGTATACATGCCATCTTAGTCCTTCTAATTCTCTAGAGACCTCCAGATTCTAAAAAGCAGTGGGTGATGCTAGTCAATAGCCCCACTCACCAGCAAGCATGATACATACACAAGTACCAGCAGCAGCACCACCTGGAGGAAGGGCACTGGGATGTTTCTCCAATCCAATCCCAATCCGTCTCTCAAACAAAACCAAACCAACTACCCCTCAAAGTTCAGAACTCGGCCATGATTTAAAACACACCCACAAACTCAATCTTCTCAGGATTCATGACTCATGCACCACTTCTATATCTTCTCCTCTTTCACTGTTTTCACACCCAGCCTCGTAGACGGAGACCTCAGGATGCCAGGCATCGCCACGCGTGAGAGTTTCTTCGGGAAAGTCGTGGTGGGATTATTACATTGAGGCCTTTTCAATCACCCCAACATATGATTCATTGCACTCAATTATTCTGAATAAATTGAAAACCCTTCCGGTATGCAAGGGGCAAACGATTGTTTCAGTGATACAAGCGTGGTGGAAAACCATGGAAAATCCATACCACTGTTCCAATGGAGTCTTCATTTCCTGGCTCTTTGCCAGTGGATCAGGTGGATCAGCCAGGTCGCCATATGTACAGCGCTGCCTCGTTCGATGACCTGGTCGAGCGATCACTCTGATCCCGTGGAGATGCCCTCAGAACTCTTGGCTCAAATCCCTGAGACGCCTATGCTGGGTCACGAAAACTACATCAACAACCACTTGGGAAGACTGAGTACGTCGAGTCCTGACAGGAATGGTTCACATCAGTGGGTCATTGTACTGTAACCTCAGGAATCCTCAGGATACCCATGACGGTCTGTCAGACGGTCGGTCAGGGTATCAGCGGTATCAGGGGCCCATCCCGCCATGGCCATTGTCCTGGTCAACTTGTGCAGTTCACACCAAGTCCTGGTATCTGCCCTCGTTGCCCAGTGAGGGCCTTGATTGGCACGACTCTTATAAGCCTTATATATAGATCTTATAGGAGAAGAGGGGTTCACATATATTTACATCTTCAGCGATCTCCCAAGCTGGTCGTTCACTCCCTTCTCGCTGACCTTCTCGTACGCCGTGCTCCGGCTCGCCGTGCTCTGCTCTCCGGCCTCGATGGACATCTGCTCGTCGAAGGCAGCATCGATCCGCTCGTCCACGCGGCAAACCTCGTCGAAACGCGCCGGCGCAGTCCACGCGCGCCGCGGAATCCGCGCAGAGACGCGGTGCAGAATCCGCCCAGTGGGTTTGGGGGTCCAAAATGGGGCATGGGGGGAGCCCTTTAGGTCACCATGCTTTGGAGAGGAAGTCTTTGAAGGGGCCATGTTCATGTGTCCACCTTGACATGCAGGAATATAAATGCTTACGTGTTGTCCATGATCCACATGGGGGTTGGAGGGAAACTCATATATATATATATATAATTATATATATATATGGGGTCCCATATGTATTGGATGTATACTCCCATGGCACGCTGTCTTCTTTGTAACACATTTTTCTACCGAACTCTGCCAGCTGTGTCCAGCTGTATGATGGAACCGCAGAATGAACGCACGCGTACCCCAAGCTTAAGCACACTGCCAGGGTATAAACACGTGTAAAAGTGCCTAGCCCCTCCAAGTCTGGGAACATGAGCACAACATGGTGCTTTTCCTACATCAACATCCTGTTACCTGGCATTGATCTCAATGTACGTCAAAAAGCCAGCTACTAAACTATTACAGTACATATTATTACTGTACATTCTCTTGTACTGGAGACTTGGAATGCAAAACTTGCCACTGGCAAACCAACTGTTGTGATCCTGTTTTGTTGGGAAGCTGTAGAGAGTCCAACCTAATTAGCTTCTCAAACCCAACGGCATGAGATCGACATATCGGCTGTTCGCGCCGTCGGCTATTCGCGCCGCCGTGCTGCCGTGTGCCTGCAGCGGGCATTGGCAATTACCATCAATTCGCTGCATCTCAGTATTGAAGACCGTCACGTATCTGGCAGTTCGGCAAACATCACTCGCGGTTTTTTGGGGGACGGAACGTCTTTTACTACGTGCGTGGAGGTCGTCGACAACAACATCGGCGGCCATGGAGGTCAGCAAGTCTTGGAATATTGAAGATCACTACTCACTACACTCCCTGAAAGAAAAGTGGAAGACCACCTGTTTCCATCTGTTTCCTGTTTGTAGAGGAAAAGTGATGGGTGCCACCCACGGTCCCCACGTTGGGACTGGATGGGACTGGGGCCAAACTTAGAGCTAACACTCTGACTCACGTCCCATGGAAGTAGAAGGCGACGTATCACTGTCCGAAATACCAAGCGAAACAAACTTAGAATATCTCAACAAACCAAAAGAACAGGGCCGCTGGGACATGGTGTTTGGGCAACCAGAGAGGCTGCAGGATATTCCCACTTGCATCACTGGTGTGTACAAATGTTCAACCAAGCCGGTCGCTGACATCGCCTGAGACGGTTTTGCACAAAGCTCTGGCGGAGGACCATAAGCTCACAATCCCCTGGCAGAGTTCGGTTGAAAAGACAAAAGACTCACGAAAGCAAAATAAACAGTAAATTCCATGTCCAACACCATTTTTGAGATAGGAATTTCATGTGGTGGCGGCAGTGGTGATTCTCTGATGATTGCTTGATTTCCTAAGACTGAGCCAGCAAGCACACTCTGTCCTGCCAAAGCTGCTCCTGTGCATCAACATGAGGATTACAATTACAGGAGAGGGCTTGGATGGTTTCCTGCCTCTATGACTCTATTGAATTCTTTAGAAACTTCGGAATGATTTTGGAATGATGCATCTGAGTCCAAAAACGGCCAATCCTCCTGATCCAGTATGTCCAGCTATGCAAAACAATAGACACCAAACACATGCAATTGGATGTGGTGGTGGAACTAGGATCATTTCTATATATATATATATATTCTATCATATGGAAAGCTGGGCTTGTCGAATTACACACCAAAACCTATGCCCTGCCCTTCGACTTTGTGTGCCTGAAGGTTCACGGTGTCCTCTGGTTTCCAGGGTTGCTGCTCCTAAGAATCAGCCTTTGGCACGAGCTTGTAATGATGTGCCATATCCTACAAGACTTAAATGTCCTGCACGACTTCTCAATCACTCCCATAAAAGTTGTTTGAAAGATATCACTGTATATGTTGTACCCTTAGTGAACCTGCACCTTAAACATGTGCCAAGAAAAGACAGGACCGCTTACGCAACCCCCTGCATCTACCCAAATGCCTATATATGTAGGGCAAGGCAGAATGACTTGATATGCAATGATTTGCCTCGCGCAATGAATGTCATGAAACAGTGGTTCATAGAGTGGTTCTTCAGGAACATCGATCTACATATATATAGAATTGCAATAAACCTGGACGCTCCAAAGGTTTTTCTTTCGGTTCCAGCCAACAAATCCAGTGGAACATGATTCGCTACGGTCTCCGCCTATGGAGATGATGGCCATCATGGGATGCAGCTTCCCATGGATCATGGTGGAGTTGTCTAAGACTGACAAACCTCAGTCGGTCTTGGTGAACTCAGAAGTGGAGACTGAGTGAACGGGCGAAGATGGGGGAAGGCAGGGAATCGCAAGAAGTTGATAGAAAGCACAAAATGGGACATACCTGAATCCGACTTCAAGTACTCTTGAAAATGGAACATGACCCGGACAAAAACAGGCATGACAAACAACTTGTGAATGCGTGAGCCGACGATTTTGCTTGGTTCATCAGCGATCAACAGGCAAGGAATCGAAGCGTAGATAGCGCAAGCCAATCGACAAAGGTGAGCTAACTTAGTGTCACAGCCATTTGCGGTATGGTGTCCTCTGTTCCAACCCTACTGGTTGCGGACACAGGCAAATCGGTAATCCCAGTTTTATGACTCATGACTCATGACAGTTTATGTTCCTATATACATATGGTTCTCCAAGCTAAGCCAGGGGTACAGGAAAGGAAAGTTCACCCTTCTTCCAGCCCCAAAAACACACTCATCAGCGTGGAAAGCCACAGCAGCAGTTTCTCATCTTTCGAGCTTTCTTTCGCAACATGTTCTCGGTCGCATTTGCACAAGAGACTTTGCTTGTGCAACCAAACATCAACTCCTAAACTTAACAAACACATCAAACAAACTTGCCAACAACTCTAAAGGTCGAACCGCTCAACTCTAAAGGTCGAACCGCTTCCGACGCCCGGAAGCGGTGGGTGGAGTGACCTGACCTTCTTTGGGTCATTTGGGTGGACCTCCGTGCGCACCCTGACCCAACATTCAGGTGGCTTACCCTAGGGACCCAAGTACCTTCAGGTACGGTGATTGGAGACACAATTATGTAGAGTTTAAATAGCCTTATGAAAAATTGGACATGTGTCGAAGCCTGACGACTCGGACAGGCTGGTTTAGGCTGACCTCTGTCTAAGAGTTATATACCTGCAACTGCTCAGCTGGAAGCATCTTCTGCAGGCGTTCTGCCTGGGTGTAGAGGCCGAAGAGACCTCCTGACGCAATGCACGTTTCGCCTGGGACCCAGGTGGATGGGTGCGGCCCGGGTCATGAAGATGCTGAGAAGCACGAGCCGGGGAGTTGCGGAACATCACACAAACACCAAGTTCATAAGTTCATGCCTCTCCCGATGTGTTGACCAGCCTGTTGTTGGTTTGGAATCTCAGGTGATAATTCTCAGGTGATGAATCTCAGGTGGGAAATAAGATGATTGAATTGTCTGTTTGGATATTCTTTGAACCATTGATATGTCCATGTGATTGAAGATAATATTTTTGATAGAAAATGGAGAACCAATCGGTGCAAGCCATTGTGGACATGGGTCTTCAAATGTCCTTCGCCTACATAGTAGGACACATAAAATCCTTTAGCTTTTTTTGCCTTCACCATCCTTCACCTATGTAAGACGGTCACCGCCTGCCGCCACAAGTTTTTTACTCCATTGCAGGCCAAGTCCAGGTCAGCTGGAAGAAGGCATGTACTAATTACAAATTAATTTGGCCTTGGAAGACGCTTTGGAGTATCAATCAACATCGATTCCACAGGTGTCAGTGGTTCTAACCGCTTCGCCGTTTCTCCTTATGATGATCATGCGTCGCCTCATTCACGGCTGTCTTGACGACAGCGGTTCCAACCGCTGCGGCTACCCGTAAGCCGGGGCCTGCTGCTCCAAAGGTGACAACGTCGAAGACAACGTAACCAGCATTCTTCCACGCTTCTTCCGTCCTACCCTCGTTCGCTGCCTGAATGCCATTTGTCAATGGACCGACCACCTTAGATGTGCTGTGAAAAAGCCGATGCTTGATCTTTCTTTGTAACAAATCAAAAAGTCTATATAAAGACTTCTGAAGCAAATGAAGGGAACAGGGATCATGGACGTGATGTTTTGCAACCACGAGCCATAACGAACTGATCCCAGATTCATGCGCACACTCGCTGCACGAATCGCTGATGCACGAATGGCTGAGCTGCGGAACATCAACGCCATACCAAAGACACCACCGCTCACTGATCAATCACCTGGAACCTGGTACAAAATTCTGCGGACGCGGGCAAACACCAAGTTCATGCCTCTCCCGATGTGTTGACCAGCCTGTTGTTGGTTTGGAATCTCAGGTGATAAATCTGCATCAGCTCTGGGCAACTTTTAGGAAATAAAATAAATCAGTTGGATTCAATATTGCAAAGTATGAACTAGCGATTTAAGAATTTATTTGTCCAAGTGATTGGAGATATTATTGTGGATGGAACATTGAGAACCATAAATCGGTGCAAGGGCAAGAATCCAATCCTAGTAATGGTAAGGGGACGCCAGGATGTGGAAGAAGAGCCACCTCAACAACCCAAAAGACCCGCTGCCGCCCCGAAACCAGACCACCCGAAGCATCCGAAAGCTCCTGTATGCCAAAAGAGGATGTGTGAGTCGCGGAAGCGCTCTGGATGTACTTTAGCATAGTCCTGACACCGAAGCAACTGCGTGGATCGAGTTCGGTTTACACTGGATTGGTTTATCCCAAGCCTTATAGGAAGTCATGAAACCACTACACTCCAAAATATCTTGTCTGTTGATGATTTGTGAGCCCTTGGCTTGTGGTCATGCAGCTTACATCAGCTGTCCACCCCTTCCAACTTGAGACAGTCACGCCTGGGATTGGGTCCCAAGAGGAGAGATGCCCCAGAAGCCGCTTCCAACATCTCCCAACAATCCAATGAATCCTGCATGATCTGCATGGTCAGCGGGACAGCCACCGAAAAGGCCAGCTGGCCGTCCTGCTAAGAAGACCAAAGGGTATCGAGCAAAAACGTTTAACTGTACTATGATGCAACCAGTCAAGTAACCCAACAGTTTGCCCAGCTTGTTCCAAGCCAATCAGTTCAGTTTGTTTCATCTTGGTTCCTAGACTCTGTTTTCATATATATATATATATATTTGTTTTTCCCGGAGTCCGGTGCTATCTCTTCAGACTCACCGATCCGCAATCTTCACCAAGGCTCGCAAAAGTGATACAAAGCCTTCCCAGCGTAGGTGTGATCCAGAATCACGCCTGAGCAGCGCCGTGGGCGATGTGCGGTTTTTATGTTTTCATGTTCCCTGCGACACAGGCACTAACATTCAGTAACTAACTCGGACTAACAGTGGATAACGCATGTGGAAAGAGAGAGAGAGAGAGCAATGCATTTTGATGCATCTTGGTCTACAGTTCATGGTGCAGAGACACACCCAAAACTCCCCAATATATCAGTATCGAAAACACCATAAATTATATAAATCAAAATTTTGCCCAACGAAGAATTCCCCTTCCAATCACACGCACAGAGCCTGCTTGACAGTTGCCCATATGGTGAAACTGACAGGGACTAGACTATACCTGAATACCCGCGTGGTTGCGTTCAACCTCCAAAACTCAGATCATGGCTGTGTACCCAGATATATATAAGGTGAACCATGACACAACCCATTTGAAGGTCTTTCCCAAAGAACAACTCATCCAAAGTCCCATTGAAACAGCGTGCTGGAAACATTGATTTTGGTCAAACACAACCTGCAGAGTTGGCAAACAAAACATGCAAATAATTTGGATGTCTCCCAACATGCAAAACATCACGCACATAATGTCATTGCGTGTGAATTGTAAATGAGTCAAGGTTCCAAAACCCCAAAATTGACCGATCCACGAAGTTATCCACCCGCAACTTGTGGGTCAACCCGGTCAACCCCTCCCTCCACATGTTCACCACTTGGTCCCGATAGTGCTGTGGGGATGTGCGGGTGTTCTTCGTGCGACATTTCTGGTCGCCTTCTTGGGCGACCTTTGTCGGAGATTTAGCATGCCATTGATAGTTTCAAGGCACCCGACTCTTTCAAAACCACAAAGCTAACATAAGCTGACATTAAAAACAAAAAACTATATCCATCCTGGCATGCCTGCCCATGCGCACTCAACAGGCCTGCACCGGCCACGTCCATGAGGAACCGCAGTTCTGCTTCACCCGCCACGGCATAGCCAGCACCACTGCCGTCCACGAGCGTGACGGGCGCCCAGGACTTGGTGCAGAAGGACAGACCAAAACAACCACCAAAGATCGGTAAAATTTGAAGTCTTGGTCCAAGTGGATCCAGCTATATCCAGCCCCACACCTTAGAAATCGTCTCTTTGCATAACTGAGATTCTTCCATAGAAGGTCTGGGATTCATGTGGGCACGCCATTTCCATGTGATGCCAGCTGCCGTTGGAAGACCAAAGCCACAAGAAGACAAAACACAACCCACTGGTCACAGAGTACAAGCACCCTATAGATCAGCTGAGGTTAAAAATAACCTCTGAGGTTATTTTGTTTCCTGAGGTTAATTCTAACCTCACTGAGGTTATTATGAAGAATAGCCTCTGAGGAAATTCTTAAGAATAACCTCACAGTTTCTGTTGTTGTTCTAAAAACTAGCATCAGAATGGTTTACCACATGGGCTGTCAAGACACTTGTTTTTTCACATTGACACCTTGAGGTGGATTTGTGAAAGTATTTGTAGAACATATGTGGCACATGAGTTTGTGCTAAATGTATTTGTAAGTGTTTTTGAATACGTTGGTCAGAACATGAAAACTGTGGCCCAGATGTATCTTTGTTGCCACATGTTGGCACACATTCTTTGGGAGATGTCGTGGCACACATGAATCAGAACTACTTGGGGAAGTGAAATCATGCATTATTCTTTGCATGGGGAAGTGCAGAATGTGTTATGCTTTGGAAATTTCAATCCCACATATTTGTTTCTCTTCTCTGTGGCATCAGGGTCTGTCATAATTCAGGAAAAGGAAAATGAAGAGGAAAAGGAAAAGGGAAAAATAAAAACAATAAAAGGAAAAGGAAAAGGAAAAAGGAAGAGGAAGATGAAAACTAGACAACGGTTGGCCCGAGAGCGAGACATGTAATTGTGTCCAGCACTGTCGAAAAGATGTATAGAAAGAGAGAAAGAGAGGGTGGATGTGAAGGAGTGACAGTGTGATGTGCAGGTGCGATATAGATCTGTAGATGTATGGAGGTGGAGAGGTAGATCTGTGGATGTGAGCGTGCGAAGATGTAAATGCACAGAGACGAGAGAAAAGATATGTAGAAAGAAAGAAAGAAAGACAGGACAGATGTGAAGGAGCGACAGTGTGGGTGTACAGATGTGATATAGATGTGCAGATGTGTGGGTGTAGTGAGGTGGAGAGGTAGATCTGCGGATGTGAGCGTGTGAAGATGTAAACATAGAGAGGTGAGGGGGTGTAGACGTAGATGCGTCGATGCAACGGCAGTGCAACGTACAACGCTGAAGAGGTTCAAATAGAACTGAAGAACGTACATTTCACACTGAAGTTTCCACGAACAGGGCGACCTGAGAGTAAACGACGTCACGATCATGACAAGCGACTCGTGTATTCCAAGCGAACATCGTTTGTCATGAAGGTGAAGTGCACACATACTAACGTCATGATGACTCTTTTGTGGCAGCCACTTATGAGTAAGCCAAGTAGCTAAAATTTGTCAACCTCTCAAGAGAGCCGGGTGGTCGGGAGACATGACTCAGCTGCAGGGGCGCCAGAGCAGCCGCGAAAGATGACTCAGCCGCGAGAGATGACTCATCCGCGTACTAAAGTTGTACTACAAAGTCGCCAGTTCTCAGCTTCCAGCTCCACAGCTTGCTCCGCGTACTAAAGTTGTACTACAAAGTCGCCAGTTCTCATCTTCCAGCTCCCCAGACACTCCGCGTACTAAAGTTGTACTAGAAAATCGCCAGTTCTCATCTTCCAGCTCCCCAGATACTCCGCGTACTAAAAGTGCACTACAAAGTCGCCAGTTCTCAGCTTCCAGCTCCACAGATTGCTCCGCGTACAGTTCTCATCTTCCAGCTCCCCAGATACTCCGCGTACTAAAGTTGTACTACAACTTCGCCAGTTCTCATCTTCCAGCTCCCCAGATACTCCGCGTACGAAAGTGGTACTACAAAGTCGCCAGTTCTCAGCTTCCAGCTCCACAGATTGCTCCG